CCCCGACTGTGACAGTAGCTGTGCGCTGTGACTGCGGCTGTTGCTGTTGCTGTTGCTGTTGCTGTTGCTGCTGCTGTTGCTGCTGTTGTTGTTGTTGTTGTTGTTGTTGCTGTTGTTGTTGTTGTTGTTGTTGTTGTTGTTGTTGTTGTTGTTGTTGTGGTCGTCGTCGTCGTCGTCGTTGTTGTTGTTGTAGCAGTAGCAGTAATGGTAGTTATATTTTTGTTGGTAGCGGTCGTGGGTAGTAGTGGCAGCAGTGCCGTGGCAGTGGTGGTGGTAGTGGTAGTGAGAGCCGGAGCGGAAGTGGGTAGTGGTGATGGTGGTAGTAGCAACGGTAGCGCTAGTCGTAGCAGTACTACCTCGAGCTTGTCGTATTAATCTGAATAGTACGTTGGTAGGATTAGGTAGAAGCAGTAGTAGTTAGTGCTAGTAGTGCCCGTGGATCAAGGCAATCATTAATTTCATAGTTCCAGATATGCATCGCAACTCCAGCTGGTCAGCGGCAAAAGATGGCACTTGCGGCGAACAAGGATGCCTTGACCTGGGTTTTGGGTTTAGGATGTTGGACACAGACCCAAAGGTTCAAACCAATTAGCTGCTGCGGTGCACAAGCTTCTGACAGATGCTTCAACGGATCGTCAGCTGGCCTAGGCACCGCCGGCAGGGTTGTCCCGAGACTGGTATACCTGACGGAAGCATCTGGCATGATTCTATATACTGCTAGCCTTGAAAGTCTATTGCGTATGACACCTCCATCATCTTATGGCCTGTGTTGCCGAGAAGTCATGCCAGAAGTTCCACTTGTTCCACACCTCGACCGTTTGGCCCAAGGCTGCATGTTGATGACAGAAGAGAGGATTCTAATGGCAAAGCTGGCCCAGCTATTGCTTGCATGAGTGAGGTTTCGCAGCAACAGCAGAATGTACCAAGAGGCCGCAAGACTGTTTTCAGGCTTTCAGGATTCAGGATGCTGAGATGAGCTTTTGAGCCGAGCCATGTCGCATTATGATCGATACGATCGACCACACGATCGGTACGGTCCCTACGACCGCCCTGGCCCCTACCAGCCCCCGCCTGCTGAGCCTCAAGATCGTCACCACTGGCGCAGTAGCCACGATGATCCACAATCTCCGAGGCGGCAGGATGAACATGCTGTCAGGGAACATCGGGATCCTTACGCCGGCGTTCCTACGTCAAGAGCGGGCCAGGATCCCTACCTAGATGCCGACAGAAGATACAATCCTTATGGAGATCCGGACAGAAGGTACGAGGGTGACTACCGTTACCCCCCACCGCCAGCCTACGATCCTTATTATGACCCATACCGGCAGCACTACCCACCGCCGCCGGGAGCCTATGGTGGCGGAGCCTACGGAGGAGGCTACTACCCACCGCCTCCGGGCTATGGGCACTACGGCCCACCACCTCCCGCAGGTTATGGCCCACCCCCTCCCGGCTACGGCTATCCTCCTCCACACTATCCCCCACCTCACTACCCTCCCCCACCAGCAAGCAGCAGGCCGGGATGTTACATGAAAGCTGACCCTATGCTCTTCGTGGATGTCCGCCCCACAAGAGCAAGACTAAGACTGATGGCATCAAGACGTTTCCTTAACTATATACTGATGACGAGCACAGTCCCCAAAAGAGGATTAATTATGAACGCAGTTTCATCTTATCACGAAACAGAGAGAGAATCCCAACCTTTGTGCACGGTCGGTCCAGGAGCTACAGCCCCGAACGTCAGACTCAGCGGGAGCCCGCGAAACGCGGCGGCGGGAAGGGGCAGAAGGGCAAAAAGGAGCCGCCTTGGGGGTTTTAGATTCCAGCGCTTTCAGGGTTTTGCCAGGTTTATGCACATGGTAAACGGTGCTGTGGGCTCAGGGTTACGCGTACCTCTAATGACCATGATTCCGTAAAATAAGGGCTCGTAGTCCACGGTTCTGTAGGGTTGGGGGATACCGGCGAAGGGTTCAGGGATTGGGGCTTTGGGCCTAAACTTGAAGCCACGCACATGCGCACGGCCGATGGAGGAGAACAACGCCGGCCCTCCCAGAGGGAAGCGAAAGCGGGAGGCCCTTTGTGTTTTCAGGTTCCGGGTTTATGCTTACACGTGTTGTTTGTTGTTTTTCAAGGATGTTCCAGCCAGGGGTTCCAGATCTAGGCGGCTGTTCAGACTCCAAGGTAACTCAGCCCACAACCCCAAGAACCCTACGTACTCCCAAAACCCTGATTGATTGTGACAGCTTCGGCAAGACTGACTACTGCACGCCTGCGTAGGCAGGACGAAACCCTGGATTCTCAACACCTCAATCCAAAGGTGAAGGAGTCTCGCGGAGTAGGGCTTGAAAGGTCCAGGAGAGTTTACGTATAGCAGCGGGTTTAGACTCGAGGCCGTCAGAAGGGGTTTGGGTAGTCCACACACACAAACACACACTTACGCACGAACCTTCTCTTGAGTCTGTCTGTGCTCAGCACAAAGCGTGTTAGAGATTTCCTGAAACAAAGCGGCCTGTAATGAAGGCAAAGAAGTTCTAGACTGTTCAGGTTTCGAGAAGGCTTCGGCTTGGAGGAAGCTGTACGACCGAAAAGGCCTCAACAGCAAACCCTAAACAACTTAAGCCTACATCTTATAACTCCCAGCCCACAAGTACTGGTACCCTGACTGCCCGGAGCAACAGCACAAAGCCGTGAAGAGCAATCCAAGAGCCTGAACGCGAAGACCGAACCGAAGACGGGCGCCTGCAAAGTTAGTCATCTTACCTATGATGTAGTTTTTAAACCCACGGATTCCTCCCGTGTGAGAGAGAGAAACCCACGGAATCCGTGCAGCATACAGCATCCCAAGAACTATAGCGAACATGCGGTTCCTGAATAATATGATCATCGCGATTTAAACCCCTAGTCTGCTAGACTACTCTTATCAATAGCAACTTGAGGTTGAGGCATTCCACTCTGTCAGCGAGCCTGAGCCTTGTTGTTTCCCGGAGGCCTCGCCGGAGAACCCCGTGGTGGATGCGGCGGAGATCCGGCTGAACCTCTCTGAGGTGTAGGGGGCAGCTCGGGGATGCTACGCCGGGGATTGCAGACCCGAGTATGTAATAACACGCCGATAATCCGATAGTAAAAGTATCTGGCCTGGGACCGAATGAGATTTGTGCATGATGCCTGCTTCGATGGCCATCATGCCGGGCGAGGCTTTGTTCTAGTGGCCTTAGGTTTCATTGTAAACCAGCTGGGTGATCATGCCGTCCCGTACCAGCTCCAAGGGTCACCCCAAGTCTCTTGCATTGGAACCCCTAAACCCTAAACCCTAAGCCCTAAACCCGGAGGTGTTGCCAAGATTGGTGAAGGCAGCGCAGGAACAGGAAGGGAGCCGATTCCTGCAGTGGAAGCTGAGCGGCAACTCCAGTGTCTCGACTTGGCTCACCAGTTTATGGGTTTTTGGCTGTCTGTCCTTACAAGAGCTGCTTTCTAGTGTTTTCAGGTCTTGTGCGAAGTTCTAGGACAGGAAGGAGAAGCATGTTGGAACCTGAGCCTGAAATTCTGAAGCCTACCACCAACGACCTGACATTATGTGAGGTTCGGGGAAAGGTTTTCTACTGGTTTTCTGAGTTATGGAGTTATGGGGCGGGGGAGCAGTCAGAAGAGCACGTAAATCCATCATCGTGACCGCCATCACCGCAATTAGCTGCCGCCTGCATTTCCGAGTCGCCAGAGTCAGGCTAATTCCACTAGGAGACGAGCCGTGAACTGCGAACTGTCAGACAACTGTGAACACAGGTTGTGTGCTCACGGAGAAAGCGTACTCGCACGAGTAGTCGCGTTTGCCAGACACAGCTCCCTCAATCGCTATGAAAGGAAAGTTTTCTGGAGCGTCCGTTCTGTCCATGTACATGGAGTGTCGACTCAGCATGAAAGTCTTCTCGCTTTCCTGGCGTTTTTAGCAACAGCGCAGAGTGTCAGAGAGCAACGCCAGAAGAGAGAAGACTCGGTAGTTCGGGTACGAGACTGGTACTGCACTTCGAACAGCAGTAGTCGCACAAGAGAACATTGTCAAGTCGTACCAATGAAGACGCACCTTAGCAGAATAGGGTTTGGGGTATATTATACTATAACTAAAAAAGAAACCCCAAAACCCTATTCTAATTATTAAGGCCGTATCTCCCTGGGATGCATCTGTCCACCACAGGAAGCCTAAGCCCTGAACGCCTCAGGTGCTGAAGAGCGAGCCCAGATCTTCGAGAGGGCGCTGCCGGACGTTGTACACTTGGCAAATGATGCGTTTGGGAGCCTAAGCTTGACCACATTGAATGTGGAAACCAAAATGTAATCATATGCCCTTTCGATAGCCGGTTATGGTATGACCGCTATTGCGTCATTCCGGTGGGTCAGTGGTGCCTACGTTTTTCAGAGGTGGATTTTTGGGATCTCCGATCGTGTTTGTTGCCCTCTCCGGATCCAATGATCCAGGAACTTCGTGGTGCAGAAGTTGTTCGAGGTTGGGACGGAGGAGCAGCAGAGTGCTTTGGTCTCCAAAGTCAAGGGCAGCATTCTGGAGCTCGCGAAGGACGTGGCAGGGTTTGGGATCGAAGTTCAGTTTTGGGGACAAGTAATGTAGGGGCCTTAGTAGCTACTCGTAGAATAGGGTTTGGGGTAGATTATACTATAAGTATAATCAGGAGCCCCAGAATAGTATAGATAATCATTATAAGGCCCCTATAGTACTTCCCAAGTCGCTTGTCCGCACGTGGCTTGTCATTTCTCAGCGCAATGCAGGGGAATAAATGTAGGTAGTTCTCCAAATGATGGTCCCTTTTGGGCGTCCTTTTTATAAGGGTGCCTTACGATATTTGGGATCTGAATAGGGACCCTACTTTGGAGAACTATCCATGTTTCTGTTTGTTCGAATGCTCAAGTGTTTCTTCTGTCTTAGGTGTAGGAAATAGGAAACAGACTGGTACCTGTGGTGACCAGGACAAGTATGGTTGCAGAGTAGTCCAGAAGATGATGGAGTCGTTACCCCAGCAGCTGAAGATGGACATTGCCTCCGAGATCATGGACAATGTCATAGAATGCATCGAGGACATGAACGGCAATCACGTCATCCAGAAGGTTGTAGAGAACCTCGATGAGGCAGGGCATCAGGTTTGAGGTTTCGAGGATGAGGGACTTCGGGTTGGCGTGGCCGGGAAGCCACAAGCAACGTCCAATACGCCTGTCCAGGTTCATTTCGTCATTGCGGCTGTGTCCAAGAGCTCAGAGACAGCCGAGAGCATGGCCTCGCACATTTATGGCTGTCGGATCATCCAGAGGCTCTTGGAGAACTGCCCACTGGACCGCCTAGATGGAATCCTAGACCCCATCGTGAGTGCAGTGGGGAAGTTGTCAAAGGACAAGCATGCCAACTACGTGATTCAATGCATTCTGGAGAAGGGGCGCTTCGAAGACAAGCGAAGTATCGTGAAAGCGATCAGCAAGAATGTCCTTGATTTCTCCAAGAACAAGGCAGGATTTAGAAATGTGCAGCCTGGGGTGGACTACTTTTCGTATGGGACCCTTTGCGAGATTAGACAAAGCTTACACCGATGGCAGTTCTGGACTTGAGTGCGCTCGGGATGTCGCGAAGCTACACCGCAACGTAGGCAGTTCTGGGAATGAGCGCTCCTCCTCCTCCTTCTCCCCCATAGATTCTCCACGTCGAATTTACTGGCATCTTGGTCAGAACCCTGCCTAGTGATTCCCCTGCTGCAGGTCTCAAGCAACGTGGTCGAGAAGTGCCTCGAAGTGACCTCCGACGGGCCCGCGGCAGAAAGCCTGGAGGAGGACAATGGAGTGTATTGTGGTTAGTATCGCTGCATGAGGGAGATCTTGGCCATGAGTTGCAGCCAGTATAGTGGCAGCTTCAAGTTGAGATTCCTCTTAAGTCCTTTGCTCTAAAATGGGTGGGCTTGGTTGCTGTTGGGCTTTTGCTTTCTGCTGTTGTGATGGAGCTGTGTGAGGTGGTGCATGCAAGGTCCGGGGCCCGCACATTGTCGGAACCGGCGGTATACCGCACTGTTGGATACTTTTGGCAATGCTCATCCTTCCAAATTATGATTCTCAGGGCCAAACTACTACATGTCTGGCTCGTAACGCGGTGGCATTTCTCTAAAAGCTTTCCTACATGGCAGCATCTGACAACAGCTACCCCCCAGAGCTTTAACCTATCATAGTATACTCTATACCAAACTCTACTCTTCAATACTATTTTTTGCATCATGCCAGCTCTCGTCGACGATCGGACTGCACACAGTTCAGTTCGAAAGCTTGGCTTAGACCATATCGCAGCATACCACTCTCGAAAATATAAGAACTGAGAGTATATGGTATGCCATACCATACTATACTCGACTGTAATACGATACTATACTGCACCCAATGTCATGTTGTCTTATGTCATTTCATGTTATGTTGTGGTTTTATGTTACATCATATTACATGATATGTTGTCATATGGTATAGTTCAAGTACAGAAGAGCTAGCCTGGAATGTCTCAGCAAGAACCAACTGCAAGGAGCGTGCGGCGCTCTATTCTGCCGTCTTGGGATCTGCTGGAGACCAGCGAGCACCTATAAACCAGCTCATGACAGATAAGCTTCATGCCTTAACTTAGGGTTTAGGGTTTAGGGTTATGGCCTATTCCTTGCGATTCTCCGGTTGCTGTATTTCCGAGTTTGTATTGTGTTGTAAGTGTTTATTTCCTTCCAGGTTCGGGAACTACACGGCGCAGCGTATCATCCAATACAGCCGTGGGGAGGACTGGCAGGAGCTTCGACGACGCATCGAGGTGCTGGTGCCTGGCCTGTGCAATGTTTCAGCAGTTGTAGGTTAAGGACCACATAAGACGCATAGTGCACTAATTATAGGCTGCATGGCCTGATAGGGTTCGAGCTTGAATGGTCTCAGCGTTTTTTTTTTTAGTTCTAGTTCTGGTGTCAGGATGTTCATCTTGTCTCAACTGTTTGCGAGATCATTTCCGTGTCTCTAAGGAGAAGGACTTGAAGAACTCCCCGACAGGTGTGGAGCTCAGGGCCTCAGGGTTTGCTTCACTACGGTTTCGCCTGAGGTCTCTTAGTTTTTTGTTTCGGCAGTGGCTCGCCGCTGCTTGCTCTAAGGTAGACACATCCTGACAGCCTTGGAGAAGAAGAAGAAAGCTGAGGGGGAATCATAATCATCGACGGGTATCTGCAGGGTGGAAAAAGCGCGCCCTGTCCAGGGCTCCAGGCTCCACCGTTCGCGGCACACGGGCCTTGAGCTCTGCATGCCCGCCGGTAAAGCCACAAAAGGGTTAATGGCGATGAGCCCTCGAAGCATAGCATCTGATATATAATCTCTGAATGTGCGACTCTCTTTACCCTCACTGGAGCATCGAAGACAAGATAGCCCGTGTTTTCCCCTCGGGCTGTAGTTATTCGTTGCAGCGGTTGTAGCTCGCACACATCCCATCGTCTTGCCGGGGAGGAACTTAAAGCTCTGGCCAGGTACAGACAGAGTCTTACAATACTCGCCTTTTCAGGTTTCGGTTCCGGTAGGTTTGGGGGTTGGTGCTAAAGAACCGAAGTTCTGAACTTGCCCCAGGATCCCCCACAAGCCTTTGGATGTCCTTTCGCGTCACGCGTCCCACAGCCTTGAACAGGCAAGTGATGCGTGCGTACAAGCACCTTACCTTCAACTACCCATGAAACTTCGAACCTCCATAAAACCCCATGCCATACAAAGTCAAGAAGACCATACTGCACGTGCCACATGCAACCATGAAAACTTTGAAAAGACAGCTACATGTATTTGCCCATGAGCCTTCAAGTAAGGTGGTTGGATGTGCCGTCTGGTGTGGAGGTGAGCTTCACATCACTTGAGGCAGGCTGCAGTTGCTTTCTCATCGGCATTGTTGCCCGTATCCTGAAGTTTTTGATGTTTATCACTCTCTTGGATATTCTTGGGTCGCAATTCAAACCGCTCAGTTTGCTTCAGCACTTTTGGGGCCTCGTGCCGGGTTTCTGCCCAGGCCCCAACGCTAAAACTGGCCAGGAGCAGCTCCAGTGGCACTAGTCTTTGTAGGGAATGGGCCGAATGGGAATGGATCCCTATGATCTCCCCTTAAAGTCCCCTATAGTTGTCCCAGTGACCCATGCCCCCATTCCCGACTTATGGACGCTATGTAGCCTGG